TATGATGATAGGTATGTCCGTGAAATGAAAGGTTTCAGGAAACAACAGCCGCAATATTGAAGTTATTAGGTGAAGTTAATACATGTCTGCTGCCCTGCTGTTCAAAGGAAATAACAGCTCTACTTTCCTCTTTGCTGTTATTTCAGACCTAANAAATATATAAGTCGTCATGAACACATCTGTCCATCAGACAGAGGGCTGCTGTGCCTCCTGTCATCATTGATGGACGTCTCTTTAAAATGGCCGCTCAGAGGAGAGGAGTTCTCATTTCTCTAACCGCCTGCTGCTTCCCCTCCTCTCTCCTCGGCTCCCCTCCTCGACTCCTCCGCTCGCATCTCCTGTGGGCGGGACTAAGTATCGAGGATAGGAGTCGAGGATAGGAGTCGAGGAGGGGAATCTCAGAAATGAGGGTGTCAGCCTACATAAGCTGCAGCATGACATCCTATAATCATCTTTTCCTTTTACAAGCAAGGCAGAGGGTGCGTGGGTGTGTGTCTAAATGGTCAGCGCTATGAAGAAGAAAAAAGACCTTCAAAGTGTTTTTCTGCAGTTTCTTAACTTTAAAAATGCCAAAAATGGTTTCGTATAAGATATACTTTTATCATCACACACACCAGGTTAGTAATGAAACGCTTTAGAAATATGGAGTTTAAAAACACAGGAACAGATTTTGTATGGATTATATGAAGAAACACTGCAGGCAGAGGCATTTACCTTCACCCCTGACAACCACGGTTTAATTCCAACATTACGATAACACGTTAACCACGTGACTTTATTTAAGACTAAGAGACCATAGTTTAGCCTAACCTTAAGCGAACTCTCACAAAATTCCTTTGTAATCTCCCCATCGTGTCAGAGTGTGTGCCCGTCGTTTTATGGCGGTCTCGATAAGTAAATGTACCAAGCACAAAGATAAAAATACACTATCTAAATATTGCCACTCCCTGACATTTAAAGGTGCGGTTCAAAGACATTCTTGTCTTATGTTTATGCAGAGTGGTGTTATCTCTGAAGCTTATCACGATTACAGAACCTGAATAAATCCTGTGTGTGTGTGTGTGTGTGTGTGTGTGTGTGTGTGTGTGTGTGTGTGTGTGTGTGTGTGTGTGTGTGTGTGTGTGTGTGTGTGTGTGTGTGTGTGCGCACCTTAGAAGACCCACAGTATCTCTGCTTTCAGGGTTTAAAACTTCGTCAAGTTTGTGTGAGATCCAAGGTCGTTATATAGAGTACGCCATAGCTACTATTTTTATGTCGCCATAAAAACAACAACACATTGCCCTCACCCCTGCCTCCCCTCACTGCTCCCGGTGCATTTAACTACTTATTTTAGGATCTTGCAGATTGCTTTAGAGGCACTGCGTGGTCAGGCTCCCAGGTATATTTCAGAGATGCTGAACCCCTTTGTTTGGTTTGGTTTCTTTTAGCAGAGTGTACCGTTTCACTGTTTTTCTATGTGGTTTTAACGGTTAAAAAACTATGTCTATCTGTAACATGAATTACCTTCATTTATTTGTTAAAGATTAAAGGGGCCCTATTATGCTTATTTTCAGGTTCATATTTGTATTTAGTGCCTCTACTGTGACATGTTTACATGCTTTAATCTTCAAAAGCTCTTTATTTTTCTCATCCTGCCTGTGCTGCAACACCTCTTTTCACCCTCTGTCTGAAACCAGAGCCCACTCTGCTCTGATTGGTTAGCTGGCCGGCTCTGTTGTGACTTTTGAACCGCTTAGAGGTATCCCACCCCTTAGCCTATCAGATACAATGTGCTGCCAGTAGAAGCGCGAGTGTCACAAAGTGATGTTACTGAAGTAAATACAGGAGTCCAATCAGGGCGGGATTCTAACCCTTGCAGACCATTCACATGAACAAAAACCTATATAACACACTTCGAGTGGGAAAACCAAAAAAAGCATAAAAGGGACTCTTTAAAAAGGAACCAATCAGCTACCTTTTTCATGGATGTCATGCCACATAAACCGATGTGTTTTTTTAAACACAATGAGGGTTTTCACTTTGTTTCATACAATAACACCAGTAAAATAAGTGATTTATGTGTTATAAAAAATATAATGAAATTGCTCAGTTTTCCAGTCTGCCTGTCAGTGAACACGCTGTTTCTGCCCTGAACACTTCAGATGTCTGGGTGTTTACTACCTTGTTCTTGGCACTACACTAGGCACAAATCCCAGGAGACTCTGTGACTCTACCAGAAGATACGCCATGTTCAAATGTGCTCCTACAAACTTCAGCCAAACAGTAACAACAAAGCTGGCTTTGATCCTTTATTTAGCCTCCAACGTAACATGCCAACTTATTAGAATGATCTGTGAATGTGTGCGCAGCTTTTTATTTGATGTCTCTTCATGTGAATTACCTGCGAGGTGCAGAGGTGTGGAGTTGCGTCCCTGCGTGTCCCGGCAGTTGATGTTTTCGGGGCTGCAGAGCTTCTGCACCCGGGCCAGGCAGCCTTTCTTGGCGGCGTCCAGCAGCGCGGCGTCCCCTCGCAGCAGGTCCTGGATGTCCGTGTCCCCGTCCTTCACCAGGTCCAGAGGCGTGTTCCCGTCTCGGTTCTTCTTGGTGGGATCTGCTCCGTGCTGCAGGCCAAAACAGAAAAGGAAGAAATAAAGATTTTTCTTTTTAAAAAAAAAAGGTAAATGTTTTATCAACCGTAAGTCCTTAAATATTTATGGCAGACAGTGTTTTCAATCAAAAAGCATACATGTTCCTGTCATGACAAAAGACAAAATGGCTTAATGTTGGTAAAAAATAGGCATATGGTAGCATGGACAAAAACATCATGTTTATAATGAACATTAGAATGAGTGTGATATATTTTCCAAAAAAGGGACAAAAGGCACAATAATCGAATCGCAATTATATCCTTATTGTAAATCATTTAGCCACCATACTCCTGGTACAGAATATAAGCTGTCATCAACTTCCCCTAAACAAAAACATCAGTCCCCTAAATCCCTTACTGTTTGAATCCCAGAGGAAACCCTTCTATTTGACAAGCGAGGGGAAGATGAAGGTAATTTGCGGGAGAGAGGGAGGGAGAGGGGTGAGGACAGGACACCCAGCGAAGTGGAAAACACAAGCCCTGGAGACGGGCTGGAAAGAAAAACATTTTCATCGTTCAATGCCTAGGTGACACTTTCACTTGTCATTTCATTTCAAGTTTTGTAAAACCCCTCATTAAAGCTTGATGTTGTGAGACCACTCCCCCGGGTATCCACTGCTGTCCTGAAACTGTCCGTTAAACATCTGTCGCTGCTGTATTCCCCTTTAAAAACTTTTTGAACCTATCCCTCCTCTGATTTGTCTGCCCTACTTTTTCTATTATCCCTTTGCTGCTGCTGTAATCATATTCTCACTGTAATTTATTCGCTCTCCAGGAAAGTGAGAATAGAGACCCATTCAAGTCATAATTGGGGACATTAACATATAAACACATGTCGCTTTTGTGAGTCTTTCGATGGATTCCGCCTATATTCAGTTCATGAAAGATTTCCCATTTACAGAAGTGAATACTTTTGCAACCTTTGAGCTCTTTGAACAATTATCTTGCTCAGAAAAGCTGATGCATTTATTATTTTTTGATTTGCGCACAAATAAGATGATGGGAATGCATCTCCCAAAAATGATTATTTGTATATCCGTTAGTCACCCACTGTTGCCTTGAATTTGCATGAATCCACGGGTAACGAAGAATCCAAAAAAGGAGACATTTCTTGATATATGAAAGTAAATGATGGCCAACAACAGCAAACAAAATTCAAATCATCCAGTCTACACACAGCAGGGGTTTTTCTAGAAAAATATCGTATGAGGGCTCTGATCTTGTATATAAAATTCTCGTGACAACGCCCATATAGAAGATGGCGGCGCGGACGTTAAACAACGAGGCGTCGGAGCTCCATAAAAACAAAGCTGTTTATACCGTCGGACGGACTAAAGTTTCATATTTTTTTTGTTATAAGACCATTTTTGAAGAACAAAAATATTGTTTTCACTTTAAAATGTAATGGGGAAAATCAGCATTTTGGTTCGAGGGTCGCACGCCAAAAGTAAGAGGGCACGGCGCCCGTTACCCAGTTAAGACCAAACCCCTATAATCCAAGTGTCATATATCAAGTTACGTGATCTAGATCAAGGGTTCCCAAACTTTTCAGCCCGCGACCTCCCAAATAACAGTGCCAGAGAGGGTGGGGGGGGGTGCTAGTGAATTAATTTCAGAAAAAAAAAAAAAAAAAAGTTTGACAAACACTGCGCTAGTGGATTGTCAAAGAAAAAAATGTCTCTGCAATCGTTATTATTAATAATATATATATATTTTTTTACTTATAAAAAAAATTAATCTATTTTTTTATTTTGTAATCATCTCGCGACCCCCACTCGGGGTCTCGCGACCCCCCTTTGGGAACCCCTGATCTAGATAATTGAATAAAATATGCTTTTTTGCTATAAGGTACTATTTAAATCATTTATCCACTTCCTTCAATTCAGTTTTTTGGATTCTCAAGATAGAGCTGAGTCTGAGAGCAATGCCATCTGTACCAAATGCCGTGGCATTCCAGACAATAGTTGTTCAGATATTTCAGTTTGGACCCTCTCTAGACCGCACTGCTAGCATGGTCACAAACTCACACATAGATGGGGGTTTATTGTGAACAGTGACATCCATAATAAAAAGAAAGCCAAAAAGGAAAATGTCACACAGCTTGCCTGAAGGTCGGTCTCTTGCAAGACGATGACACATCCCACCCAGATCACAAGTCATGGGAGTTCACACGTTTCAAGCCAAGTGCTAACAAAGCAGATTCTCCTTTAATTGGAGGAAAAACGCATTATGTTCCTAAACTTCTCTCCCAACAAAAGAAATGCTAATACGTGTTTTGTGCATCACAAAATCCCCGCTGAAAATCACAGCACTTGGAGCACATTTTATTCCGAGCACAGATCCTACACAGAAAGGGGACAAAAGAAAGTTGACAACAAACAGAGCAGACAAAAGAAAACCTATTGCTGAACTCCAAAAAGAGAGAACAGTTGTATCCCGGGGGCCGCGGCAGATTAACTCCCATGTGCGGGATTCTGTGTACGTGTGTGTTAGAGGGGAAATGAGGGCGATGCCAAGCTCAAGCTTACTTTAGGATTTTCCAAGCAGAGTGGAAAAATGCCAAACCTTCCCACCACCTTGAAGAATCGATCGTCTGTATGTGTGTTTCTAACCTCTGCCTCCAGACCTCAGATCAGAGCGGCCTGAGGGAGCTGCTGTATCTCTGAAGTCAACGGCTGTTTGGAGAGCACTTACTGAGAGTTAGCAGCACTCCAAGGTCACACACTGACACTGAGGTCACACCAGACGGGAACTGAAAAATCACTCGCTATAAATAAATAAGAGATTTTGTTAAATGAACATGAACGAAGCTGCTGAGGCGGATTGTGCTACTGGAGGATTTGCTGAATTAGCTACGAAATCATCTCATTGTGGTGGGGAGAGTTTTCTTAGTTAGTTAGTTGATAACCCTAACCCTAATGAAAGGAAAAGGCCATCATAAATCTTAGAAAGTCTTTAGAACAGCCTTAATGCTTTTTACATAAATGTTGCCAACTTTTGAATAAACGATGCGAAAATTGGCAAAAGATTAGGCGAATGGCGGTTGTTTTTCGATGAACTACTATTAAGGTATTCATAGGACTTGGTGAAGCGAGATTTAAAGTAGATAGCGACAATTGTCCAGTTTGAAAACCCTTATACCACCGCAGCAGAAGTGGACACAACAAGATAACCGCCAGATGGACCTAAAACGGTTTTGATTTAGCTGTTAATTTGGTCTCTTCAGGGTAGCAAAAGCTTTTGTATACATCACGTTTATTTCCTTAAATCAGCACCATTATGCTTTTTGGGGTTTTCCCTCTCCTGCAGTGTGTTATATTGGTTTTTGTGCATGTAAATGGTCTGCAAAGGCTCAAATCCCTTCAGAGGGTTGAGCATAATAGGGCCCCTTTAATTTGTTTCTCTTTTACCAAATTGAATTTTGCTAATTATTTTTACATCAACTATTTTAACAAGATTGTTTTGCAATATTTCTAAAAATGTTTTGTCATTTCCACTCAGGTTTCAGAAGAAAAGACTGCAATGAGCTGAACTGATGGAATTCCGCGTGTTCATTTGTCCACGCTCCACACAGATCCCAGTTGTTTTTCTTCTGCTTCAGCTTTTAAGTCATGACCTATTTGCTAAGTCTTTTTTCCATTTCACTTGAAAACCACTTTCCTCCCCAAAGAACTGTCACCTTCCTTAACACTGCCCACTCCACTCAACCATATCTGTCATTCCAGCAACTCCACACCCCACATCCCCACACTGTTACTTTGTCACCACCAGCACTGCTCAACTGCACTTATCCCCTCCCCCCCGATTAGTGATTGTTACTGCAGTGAACTGTTGGGTGCAGCAGTTTCGTTTTTTACTAGTTTGTCCGTCTGACCTTACCGATCTCTGGCTGCACCGCCTCACTGCTGATCTCTCTCTGTCCCATGTCCTATCCATACGAGCAATAGTTTCTAAATCTATTTAACACAACTCCAATTCTGTGGTATTGTTTTGGCCACTCTTTTCTCCCATTCTGTTTGTTTGATTGTCCTTAATGCGTCCAACAGATCGCTCCAAGTTTCATCTCTTTGTGTTGCAACAGTAAAGTCGTTCATTGGATAAAAATGATGAAGCAGCACATTTTCCCTGCAGTTGATGTTCGTCTCAGTTTGCTGTGTGTTGATCTAACAATAATTTATGCGCCTCCATATGGCAACAACAGTGTGGGGGTTTTGCTTTGTCTGGAGGTGTTTGTGATGGAAAACAAAAGCTGTAAAACTGCAACATTTCACAAGACTTGTAGTCTGACTGGTTAGAATAAACTCCCAGAGACCATGACAAATCACACCTTTTAGCAAATACCGCCAATTTAAGGACTGTAATGACTGTTATTCCACACATTTTATTCATGACTTGTCTGATTTTCATAGAAGTGGCTGCCACTGGGTATCCAAACAATAGTTGATTATGCTTCAGTTAATTGATATTCATTTGTTGCACGGAGAGTTTGTAAGGCTTTCGGAAAGGAAAGTGCATGCTAACCTTCAGCAGCAGTTTGCAGATCTCGTATTTGCCCTTGGCGGCGGCTTCGTGGAGCGGCGTGAACTTCCACAAGTCGGCCACGTTGACCGAGGCTCCGTGTCTGACCAGCAGCTCGGCCACCTCGTAGTGACCGTACGAACAGGCGTTATGGAGGGGGACCAGGCCTCTGTGGAGAAATTAATAACTTTCATCACTTATCAGGATTTAAAGGTAACTTATTATACTGTTTTTCATCAATATATTATAGGTCTCAGATAAATACAAAATATGTCTCTGAAGTGTTTGGCTCGAAACACCAAACAGATCATTGTAGCATCCCATAATCCCCTCTGTTTCAGCCCTGTTTTAAAATGGCCGATTCTCTGTCTCTTACGTTAGATGAAAATAAGGAGCCCCCCCCCACGCCCCTCTGAGAGAGATTTGGTTAAAAAGAACACAATGGTGCACTAGGAGGAGATTCAGGTGATAAGGGGGGGGGTACCTTGGTTGGTGATTGGCTAATGGTTACACAAGCCAAAAAAATCTATCATAAAGTGGGCAAAATCTGATCAGCTCATTTTCAGATGGCAAATCTTTTTTCCTGAAACTTTCAGAATCTCTTTACACAGAGGGGACTAAAATAAGTGAAAAAGTGGATTTTGCATAATAGGTGACCTTTAAATGAGCAATTTACACATGTATACATATACATGCGACACCTGCCTGTTAATTCGGCCCAAATTCAATCATAACATGAAGATTCTCACCCTTTGTCCTTGGCATGAACGTCTGCCCCGTGCTGCAGCAGGTACTCCACTACCGACACTCGGTTGTAGCCGGCAGCAAAGTGAAGGGGAGTGGAGTGTCTTCCCTCCAGATCTCTGCAGTTCACATTCTGAGCCGTGCACAACGACTGGAGAGAGACAGAGACGAAGAGGGACGATTAACATGAATATCTGTTTCTTAAATGAGAGAGACGATCAAGCAAGGAGCCATGAAGACGGAGATCTATGATCCTCCCTTCAGCATAACCACTCACGTAGAACATTATTGCTTCTATTATTCAGCTTTAAAGGACAAAGTAAGATTAGAACTAAAGATAAGATCAGTTCAAGAGCTTCTCATCAAGGACAGTTTTTATTTTATGTTAAAGTGCAATAACACCGCTTTCTGACTGAAGGTGAATGATGGGTCGTGATAAATAATCAAGCTTCTGGTAGGAAATGGCCTTGAAATATGCAGCAATAGTTTTTCACATGTTCCTTTTATATCAAAGGTAGGTCAGTGAGTGTCATACACTGTACAGATTGTAAAGCCATTAAGGCACATTAATAATTTGTGATATTAGGCTACATAAATAAAAAAAGACTTTGAAGAAAGCTCGTTATGGCTGAATTTAGTCCGTTTTTTCAGCTTAACTGGGACCAAACCTCCTGACGTTAGCGAGGTGCACATACATTTCTCCAGAACTAAAGACCCATTAGCCTCTGCTGTACTTTGCAATTCATGCTAATTAGCACATGAGCATGCTTACACGCTATAATAAGAACATGGACATTGTACTTTCATAGTAATATTGAGCAGGTTGGGAGGATGAGGATAATTTATCAGTCTCTAGACTCAAAAGTGTACATCATCCTTTGGATTATTTCCTAGAAAAACATGAACGACGAAACAAAACCAACATTAAACAAAACCAACATTAAACAAAACAAACGGTGCTTCTGAGAGAGCTAGACACTGTTCCTGTATTTATGATGATAGGTATGTCCGTGAAATTAAAGGTTTCAGGAAACAACAGCCGCAATATTGAAGTTATTAGGTGAAGTTCAGTGTTTCCCCTATATGTTTTCAGCAGCGCCGCTGCTAGGGGGCGCAAGCCCCCAAGCAGATTAAAAAAAAATAAAAATAAAATTTTTTTTTTATTAAAAGAATTATAAGTGCTGCCCCCTAGCGCTCGCGGCAACTTCGAGCCACCGATACGCGGGAAAGCTGTCATTTTCAGAGCTGAAGGAAAACTGCCTGACAAGACAGACAACAGCAAGTTGAAGCAGACATAACTTTATTTGGACACAATCACCTCAAGAAGAAGACAAGGTCATAACGCCATAAGAAATGTAAGTTATTATACCATTTAAAATGTTGTTACATTTAGATTAAGTAAATTAATAGCTTTGATAAAAGAGCTACGTGTAAGAATGAATTACACTAGACAAGCTTAGCTAGTGTAAGGGATAATGTGCAGCGACGCGTCATCGTATGGGGAAGAAGCAGCCCGACAGGCTGATCAGGAGGCCCGACGCGAGCGGAGGGATCTCCTGCGCATGAAGGGGGCCAAAGCGGCCAAGATATCAAGTCACTGGGGGCAGTGGAACGAAGTGGATGACCACTTTGGCCAGCATTCATTACTAGTACGCCAGCTCTTTTGACACCTGATATAAACCTAAAAAATTGGCCTGATGAAAACAGTGATTGTTAAACTGAAACACAAAAATAAAATAAGTTACATATGTGTATATTGGCAAAGAGTAAGATAATATTGTATGTTCAATTATTTGCCGATTATTAAAAAGGAAACGATCTTTCAATGGTTGTTGTAGAAGGTAGAATCCTAGTCCCCTCCTAGTCATTGTGTGCTCAAGGCACCAGATGAAGGCATAAATAATAAAAGTAAAAACAAATCTTCCGCGGGGGGCATACCCCGCGGCAACCCCCCTAGGGAATAAGACACACCCCACGAATTAAAGCAGCAAGTCATCACAAAACTGAATACATTTGAAACATATATATTAATCGATGTATGTGTTTTCTTGGCTGGCAGCAAAAAGAAAACATAATGAGCGGGAAGGGCACTTCGCACGCGCACACACTTAAAATGTCCACGCGCGCCGCGCTCACATTTTGCTGGGCCCGCGTGCCTTAGCACCGCTGCTATGACTCCATCCTAGGGGAAACACTGAAGTTAATACATGTCTGCTGCCCTGCTGTTCAAAGGAAATAACAGCTCTACTTTCCTCTTTGCTGTTATTTCAGACCTAATAACACATTGAGTACAAGGAGAGCACACAGTGGGAAATGTGTTTTAAAGTTTCTTTCAGCCACGCTCGGAACATAATGTACAGAAAATAATATGAAACCCTGCTGCTGGCAGACATATTCCTCAATCTCTATTATCCCTCACTTCAACTGCCATCAAGCCTGTGTTCATGATAGCCATGTTTCCCGGAATAAAAACGTTAAAGACTGTAGCCTGAGCCATGCTAAGAGGAATAGCTGAAAAATGAGGGTATATACAGTTTATATATCTTTTTTTTCTTTTGTAGTTCTTTACTTTGCTTTTTTATTTTAGTGTACTTCTATGCGTTAAGTAGTTAAGTTTAAGTGAAATACTTTAGTTTAAGTGCTGTCAAGACAGTTTATGTCTTTGGTAGTTGATTCTCTTATTTAGCAGTGATGTAATGTTCATTTTTTTGTGCTTGTGAATGTGGAAATATTATTAAAAGGCAATAAAACATTGAGAGAAATTTTAATTCTGCAATAAATAAAAACATGTCATCAGTTAAGTTTGAACCTGGGTGGTAAAAATTAAATTCAAATGTATGTTAGAGCAACTGAATGTTTGCTACTAGGATATTTATATATACACACATTTTATATTCATTATAGAGGGACCCACAATCTGTATTCAGCCTACATGAACATTTCTCTGTCCAAATGATTGTGTTCCCTTTCACAGTCCTAATGTATCAATGCACAGAAGAAAGAGGATTTTTTATGTGGCAACACCATCGGTACTAACGAAGCAGAGTTTTTGTTCAATAGTTCTGTATATTGATCAAATGGAAATCACTGGACAACTGGATATTTTTGCTATATCATTGAGGAACAGGTTACATTCAGGGTTGAGTTATAGTATTCTACACTGGAAATGTATTTCCTGTTGTTACAAACACTCTTCAACTTTTCCTTAACATTACATTTTAAATTCAATTTTCTCATTTTTGAAATGATGCCGTGCATAAATGAGTTATGATGAAGGCTATGTGTGTCTTCCTTTAGAAGAGGTTAAGCAAATATATAGAACGCGTATTAATGGCTTAGTTGTCTGAGAGAGGTCATTCACTTCGAATAACATTTTCGGCCAACTAAGAAATAAGAATAATTTTCACTCTATTTTAGCTCCGTTTTTGAGGCGTTTTAGCTTATTCAAAATGTTACTCCTTTTAAAAATATCTCAGAATACAGTAAACTTAGCTTTGTTTATATAATGTGGAGTCATTCTAACAAGATTCTTACATTTATAAAATGGTATTTACTGCTTTAAATGCAGTAGAATATGCCCCTGCTTTTCGACCTGTGGTCTAAAAGGTGAACATTTACAGCACAGTCTGGACCTCCGCTACGTTATAACAGATGACAGGAATCAGCCGAGAAACGGTGCAAAGTGCAATTCTTCCTCCGTCAATCAGAAGCTCAGCCAGACAGTTAACCCTAAGTCTGTGTGTGTGTGCGAGTGTGTGTACTTCCACTGACAGAAAGCCAGACCAGCGCACATTGTCTGCTCTGCTGAGATTCCCTGCCCACCTGCCAGAGCCTCACCCTCCAGACGCTGACAGGGCCTCTTCATCTGGAGAACCCCATCACTGTGTGTCTCGGCGGGGGAAACACACAACGATTTTCACTCCTCACCAAATACTTCGGTCAAATACTTTGCCGGATCTTACCGGGTCCTGACATTTGGTGGGTGGTTTTATCCGAAGCATATTACAGAGCATGACAAGCGCCCACACTTTTAACACGAGTGGGCCCGCTGGCAATTCAAAGCGGCTAACAACGGCTATGATTATACCGAGAGCCGTGTTAGGAAATCTTATACGAAGGTTGGCCTTTTGAAAGAAACAAAGGCTTTGCAATTTGACCGAGATCAATATGGAAAAAAAACACAAAGACATGAACAGAAAACATTTGATACAAGTAGAACAATATCCATCTGACATTTAACAAAATTACTGCGACCAGACTCCATAAAAGCAACACGAGCAGCCGCAAAGGTCATTTTGTTACATTTTAAATAAAAAAGATAATAATCTGTGCCATTAACTCAAAACAAATTCATGTTTTTAATTTGTTTTCCTAAATTATTTCTGCGGTGTATCACTGCTTCACACAGGAATGAAAATTCTTTTATAACAGATTTTATGTAATTATTGAAAATAATTGTATATATTTATTATGTTTTTCTTCACTGACCCATCAAGTGTCTGTATTACTCAGTGGGACTATCAGCTCAGGCATGTTTAAGGTTTAAACATTTTATTATTTTAATCATACAGCTGCTCAATTAAAAAAAAAAACTCATAGGCTACTGAGGTCCAGTTCCTTTGTTCATTTCCTAAGTAAGGCGATTGTGTGGAGGGAAGGAATTGTCTTTTATCTAAACCTTTAATACCACCACAAAGTAGGGAAAGTGCCAAATGTTGATAATAAAAGAAATCCTAGCTCATCTACCTTGACGGTGTCCAGGTCTCCGGCTTTAGCAGCTTCCAGCAGTCTGTAGTCCACATCAGAGTTCCTCACCGGCACGTTTTCTAAAGGGCAGAACATACAGGAGTCACAGATTATAATGCATTGAGCAAACATAAGCAAAAGCAAAAACATAATCATGAAAGTAAATGCATCCACTGCAAATGTTGAAGAGAAATGACATTACACAACCCAGGGATTCACTGCTGCATGTCAGTTTGTTCACAGATGCAAGGTAAGCATCTCGCATCCGAAAATGTCACATTTTTAAGCATTTTTGGTTTAAATTGTTGCTAAATAAACTAATTTCTACAGTCAACTTTGCAACCAGACAACTGTTTGGAGGTAAGAGTGATTCATCAATATTCTAAAGAGTAATTCAATCATTTTCTGCCACCCCATTCATCAGAACGACAACTGACTGACGGCCGTTTGTTTGGAAGTTAATTTTCCAATTGATTATTTAATTGATGTGGTTAAGACAAAATAAGGATGATGCAGCCGGTCAATAAATCAGGGCAGGCAGATAGGCTGGAGGTTATTCCAAATCTACTCAACTTAAGATAAATAATACAACATTATATTTTCACTTGTGCATTATTCACAATATATCTATTTTTATTTGAAAATGAAGGATGTCATCAGTATTGCTTTATTGCGAAACGCCTAATTCTTGTTTCTCATACAAGTCTTAAAGTATTTGATAAGGAATATTTAAACACACATTACATTTGGAATTACTGCAGTAATGTAAAGTGTAACTTCCTCTAGCACTGCACAGGTGAGATTGCTCACTCAGCCTTTCCCCTCATCAAACTGCACCTTCAGTCTCCAGGTATAAATACTGACCTTTCAAAACAATTCCAGTTAATCCCAGTTACTAACAGCTGCATAGCAACCAAACAACACAGCAACCACACCCAGCCACACACACACACAAAGGGTGGTTGGCGTACCGTTGAGTATTTGCTGCACAGCTTCATTTCCCATCTGGGCAGCAGTGAAGCCCTGCAGCGACAGCAGCGAGGCGTCTGCCCCGTATCCTAGCAACAGCCTGCAGGTCTGAAGGTGGCCCGCCATGGCCGCGCGGTGCAGCGCCGTCTGACCCAGCGTGTCCACAGCGTTCACCTGCGGACACACAACCCCTGTGTTAGGATTCTTTAAAGAACTTAACTGCGCCACCTCTTTAAAGAGAAACGCCTTTGGATACTTCAACATTCTCAATGACATGTAATCAAATGTTCCGGTGAACCTGTTAACCCTCATCTACAGTGTGCTGCAGGGTCTACTTTTTTACAGTTGTAATAATATGTTTTAGATCTATATGAATTTCTGGCAGCTTGCAAAAACTTTCTTATCCTAGTAGATTTTTATGCATTTAAGCCGAGTTTTCCATCAACAACATCAGATATTTGAACAGATTTAACATAAATAAATAAAGACATGTGATTTGGTGATGTTAAGTATGCGTAAACAAGAACAAAATGTGACATTCATACAACCAGTCAAATATCATCCTGAAAGTTGTTCATTATTAGATACTGTAGAAGTTTAATAATTATGTTTAGGTGTAACTTTGTATAACCGTTGTAGAATTGCTTTATTTATTTGATGGTTTAACTGAGCATGTCAGAATGTATGACGTTCTTTATCGAAATTGGGTTGGTTCAAATGTATTTGTATTCATATTCTTTATTACATACAGTATTTAGTTTGAAAGTTATTCATATATATTGGATAATGGTCAAATGTCAATGAATACAAAAATCTCAAATGATCAAATTAAAACCATGATAAATAAGCTTAATTCCTCATGTTGATGAAACATCATATTAAAAGATAATTGATTTACAATCCAGGAAAGATTATGAAAGTATTACTTTGATGTACTAGGAATAAAGTGAGAGATAATTACGTATTAGATAAGAAAAACAAGAGAAGACCTGAGACGACGAGTTTGACCCTGTGTTCTTATTAAAATCTAGATGCAGTGAGAGCACATTGTGTACACTTACATGCATCAGCATCGATAGCAATCTCACAGTAAGCGCAAGAAAACGCATTTGTTCCAGTAATGAAAATAAGACGAGTCACCACCACTGAAAGAAACTGTGTGTTCCAGCTAAGCTGAATTCTATCCTGTATGAGTGTTGCATATCCAATCATAAGGGAGGCTCTGGAAGTAAACACTATGCTTTGTATGTGAGGGTCTGATGCACAAAACGCGATGTTTAACGCTGATTACTGCAATTATTTCTAGTAAGAGAAATAATCATATTGGCATACTTTCTTCAAGCACTGTACATGGGAACGAGAAAGAGATACCCCCAATCATCAAAACACACACATAGGAAACATTTGGAACACCAATCCATTTGTGGATTAGCCAATTTATGTAAAAATAGGGTCTGTCTAGTTATGACACGGATTATGTTGGAAGTCGATGTATGGTGAAATATGACAAACGTGAAGAAAGGCGATGAAGTGATGTACCTTAGCACCATGTTTCTGTAGCACCTCCATGATGTCATTATGAGCTCGTTCTGCCGCCACATGGAGAGGAGTCATGAAACTACACAGACAAAAGAATTGGTCAACATTTCTTTATTAATGCAGTATTACATGTACTCAATCTGTACGTAAACATGCTCATCTAGTCTTAGTTTGTAAAGCATAACATACCACCTACTGCCTGTAATTGAGTCTATGTTTGATTATTTAAAAAGAAAACAGCACTCACTCTTTATTCTTCTCATTTATGTTGGCACCTTTCCTCAGCAGCAGCTCTGTCACCTGTTTCCTCTTTGGGTGTGGAGATGCTACCGCGCAATGCTGAAACATAGACACACATCATCTGAGCATCTCTGCAGCAGTGAAGGAATGTGTGTGTGCAAAAAAGCATGTGTGTGTGTGTGTGTGTGTGTGTGTGCGTGCGTGTGCGTGTGCGTGTGTGTGTGTGTGTGTGTGTGTGTGTTGATCTCACCAGTGCTGTCTCGTGTGTGTGCGGGTGTTTGAAGTTAATGATCTCCAGAGCCAGGGTCTTCTTAGCCTTCGCCATGTCAGCTTCACGAGCAGCTTGGAGCAGCGAGTGGCCCTTAAACTCATCTGAACACACAGATGATGTCAACATGTTAGAAAAGGAAGAAAAGCAGCCTCGGTTTCAGTCGAATTCTGAGTTTATTTCTGACAGTTTTCCAGCCAAAAGCATCCAAACCCACAGAGAAGCATCTGGTGCTTTGAAAGCTTGACCAAAACCAGATTTGCAATGTTCTCCCCCTTCATTCTTTCACTTGCAATGACTGCATTTTAATACTTCAGAAAGGCTACTTTAAAGTTAACTTAAGATGCAACATTCTGTGTTTCTGGAGTTGGAGTGAAAACAAGTGATTATTCCCCCCGAGGGCTACACAATAACAAAACAAACTATTTTGCTTCAGAAGAATTTCAGGCTGCATGAAAATAAGTGAGTTCAAATCTATCTAGCTATTGAGCGACGGCATTCATGCATTTATAATCAAACGTTTAAACGGAATAGTTGGAAGTCACATCTTCAAGGGAACGTGGTCAAGAGAGAGAGGAGAGGATCCCAACAGCATACAGAACACACATAAATGGACCGACGCAGGCGCTGTTGTTTACTCTTTCAAAAGAAACCCAGTCATTTTTCATTCTTTGTTTGGCTACTAAAAAATAATAATAACAAAATAAAGAAATGTCCGTTTGAGGCTGTTATTCACAAGCTGCGCATTCAGACAAAAGAAATATTTTCTTCTCTGATTCATTTAAAGATTTTTTTAAATGCCTGAAGAAGAGAAAGTCTTCAGTTTAAAGTCAGAAAAGGATTTTAGGACATACTTGTGTGTGCTCTACAAACTGCAAAGCATTTTCAATTAGACAAGGTATTCAACTGATTTCTTTCCTCCTTTGTAGATTCTTTCACGTCAGTGTGAAAGACGGCTTTTAGTTTAAAATGCTCAACATATGAAATATATTGAAATTCAGCTGCTGATCAAACGTACATAATTTCTATATTTGTATTGTCTTGATAATCACATTTTCTTAGCCTATTAAATCTACAACCTTTAAAACTGTAACAATTTGGCTAATGTGCTTATTCTCTCTCATGCGGAGAGAAACAAAAGGGTTGGCTAAGCCATACAAACTGGAAACAAGGGAAACACGACCCAAACGTTTAAATGAAAACACCCACCAGAGCCTTAAAGGTGGACAAACCCAATAGAAATGTCCTTAAATGTTACACTTTTCCTCTAAAATAGTACAACTGGCTACTTCCTTTTTCAAAGCCAGTTACCCTGATCAACTTTCACGTGTGTCTCAATCATCTGGGCTAACTTATCAATGGAATTTCTTCTATATTGATTTTCTAACTTGTACGCCATTCTGTATTCCAGACAACAGGAGACTTAATGTCAGGTTATCAAAGGTTCAATAAAACACATCCAAAATATTATTTCACAAACCTTACTCAGCAGATGACAAGTTGTTACAGGGAAAGACCTTTGGTATAAAACCGGGAGTCTTTCACAAGCTTTAGGTACCATGCCCAAATATGGAAAAAACATTACATTTGGAAGAAATACTAAATAGAAAGGTTGGATTCAATCTCAAATGTCTTCATTTCTAGATTTGGTGTTTTGTTTTTGCAGAAAATGTCCAACTGTTTCCATAATCACATCCTCTTACAGCCAACAGGTGCAGTTGTCCTGCAGTTGTACATCGACTCGAGACGACTTGTGATTCATTTATCTTTGATCCGTTTCATTACAAAGAAAGCGCCACAAGTGCAGCAGCGGGAGAGCTGAATCCCTAATTAACTTCCAAAGAGTTGCAGAGAGCGTTCTGGCAGAGACAAAGACTTATCTTGTCTGCTGTGACTCTGCAGGAACAAAGCAAATGAATTTAATTATTGCTCAATTTCCGTTTAATTAAATATCATACATTTTGAAAAATGCTCCATTAAGAAAACAGAGGCATGGGGATGTTGCTGTAGATATACAGCTTGCGTACGTTTTGCTGTAAAATAGATCCCTGACAGGTTAAACTGTGGAAGTGAACCATGCACCAATAAAACCCAGCGATCCAATTCAAAATGAGACCTTTTCTCAGTTTGTAATGAGAGTTTTGGAGCCACGACAAAGGTCAGTGTGTCGCCTGTAACAGACTATGGGAGCATGTTGTTAGCCTAGCTGATAGCAGGAGATGTTTGTTGTTTTGTTACTTAGATAGATAGACTTTCTAGATAGCTACTTTTTTTATCCCAAATTGGGAAATGATTTATTGCGGCTCCTACAGGGAGTCCGCAGCCAATGACGGTAAAAAAGACTAAACTAAATTGTTTTAAATTTGGGTGAGTACAATATTGTTGAAATAAATACTCTCCCTAGTTTAAAGTCCAGTTACAAGGTATGCAGGACTGAATCCAAATTAAAAAATAACAGATTTTTGAAGCTGATGTTTAAAAACAAACAAGTTTCTAATTTATTTTTGTCAACACTCTTCTTCTGTGGTTTTTCATCCAGTACACAGCACTAGCACAGCTATACAACGTATTGGTGAGTACAATATTTTTTAAATAAATACTCTCCCTAGTTCAAAGTAAGCAGGGACTGAAGAACATAAATTCATTGTCACATTGTTTGTTTTCAAAGATTACAAACAGATGTAAAACATGGGCTGCGGTCGAATAGTCCATTTAGCTTAGGAACCTTCCTGACGGAGTGAAATGACCCGGAAGTACCTCAGTGGCAGCCATGATAAGAGCCGTTCGAATTCTCTAGATGATAGGAAAGGAGGGCTGCGGTCGGATAATCCAAAAATCAGCTCCTAAATTCTAACCCTATCGTCTATTCCTTGACCTCTGAGTGAAACGTCACGGGGTTAAGGGATAGTGGATAGGAGAATTCAAAAGGACGTAGGAGAAGAGACTGCGGTACTTTAGAGAATCCGAATGCACTTTCACTATCCGACGTGTTTATGATGCGCCAGCGGACGTCATTGTGTGCGTCTGCTGCTGTGGTAAAACTATGGAAACTACAGTTTTCTATACAGAGGACTACAACATGGATGTTTTATAAGAACGAGGGACTCATCTAAAGACTCTGCACCGTGCTCTGATGCTGTTGCTTTATGAACAACAGAGAAACATATTCTTCATGACCAAAGTTGGAATTGAAATAAAAAATGAAAGTCAAACTTATGCTCGTCACCCTCTCCCTCCGGTCCACATTAATACAAATGATCCCAATACGTATGATTGTATGAAAAGATCTTAAAATCAATACAAATGTATTTATTATAAACGTTAGTCACCTATCACTGTGTACATCACCATTCAAACATCTTTTAAAAGTTGAACAAACCCCACACAGCTCAGTAAACACTGTGAAATGTTGATTTTATTTGATCATTTCAGTAAAAACTAACGTTCATATTTCTCTTTTTGATTATAATACTGATGAACGTTCAAAACAAAGCACTTGTGGCAAGTTGCCACCACGTACGTTTTAAAAAGCTTAATAAGCACCGTAACTTTCATGATATAATTTCTCCGTAGTAATCGGTTGTTTCCGTGAACGGCCGACTGTTGTGTGACGGCAAATGCTGCGGCTGCAAGGCATTGTGGGGCAGCATTTGCTCCTCTCCTTTCGGTTAGGGAGGTCCAGTGGTTCCTAAGCTAAAGGAGGTTATAAAGGAAGTTTGAAACCTCCTTTCCTTTCATTTGGAGAATTCGAACGGCACTTATCCTGGCTGCCACTGAGGGACTTCCGGGTCATTTCACTCCGTTAGGAAGGTTTCCTAAGCTAAATGGACTATTCGACTTCAGCCGAGGTTTCAAACTTTTCAAAGGAAAAGGAGAACATGCTGCCCCACAATGCCTTGCAGCCGCAGTATTTTCCGTCACACAACAGTCGGCCGTTCACGGAAACAACCGATTATGACTGAGAAATTATATCATGAAACGTTACGGTGCTTATTAAGCTTTTTAAAACTTATGTGGTAAGTTGCCAAAGTGCTTTGTTTTGAAAGTTCATCAGTATTATAATCAAAAAGAGAAATATGAACGTTAGTTTTTACTGTAATGATCAAATAAAGTCAACATTTCACTGAGCTGTGGAGTTTGTTCAACTTTTAAAAGATGTTTGAATGTTGATGTACACATTGATAGATGTTAAGGACTAACGTTTAAAATAAATACATTTGTATTTATTTTAAGATCTTTTCATACAATCATACGTATTGGGATCATTTGTATTCATGTGGACCAGAGGGAGAGGGTGACGAGCATAAGTTTCACCCTCCTTTTTATTTAAATTCCAACTTTGGTCATGAGGAATATGTTTCTCGGTTGTCCACGTTCATAAATCATAAAACAACAGCATCAGAGCACGGTGCAGAGTCTCTAGATGAGTTTACAGTAGTCCCTCGTTCTTATTAAACATCCATGTTGTAGTCCGCTGTATAGAAAACTGTAGTTTCCCCACAGCAGCAACATTTATGACGTCCGCTGGCGCATATAAATACGTCGGATAGTGAAAGTGCAGTCGGATTCTCAAATTACCGCAGTCTCTTCTCCTAAATCCTTTTGAATTCTTCTATCCACTATTCCTTAACCCTTTGACGTTTCACTCAGAGGTCAAGGAATAGACGATAGGAGCTGATCTTTTGACTATTCGACCGCAACACTGATGTTTTTTTCTACACTCTTCTTCTGTGGTTTTTAATCTAGTACACAGTATGTAAACCCGTCAAGACTATTTTGTCCTGCTCACCGTTCCAAGCATGTGAAACTTTTCATGTCAGATGTTATCATCTCTCTCCCTTTCAACCCAATATTCCTTGTTTTCAGCTTAACAGTCCTGTTACCAGAATATTCACATTTTCATCCGGCTGAATGCTCAAACACATTGCTCCAAACATGTCTGGTGTAAAAACAGTCTCTCCTAAAAACAACCTATTCATTAATTCAGCAGTGACACATTTAGCTGCCTGTACGCCGCAGCTGCAGTTTATGTAAATGAAGCCCAACACACTCACATGTAAGTCTTTCCTTCAGCTCGGGAGTGGGCGCCATGTCCACGGAGCTCTTGCTGTGGCAGTTGAGCAGGGTCGGGTCGGCCCCGTGGCTCAGCAGCAGAGAGCACACCTCCACTCGGTTTTTAGACGCCGCTTCATGGAGAGGGGTAAACTGCCAAAGATCCATGGCGTTCACACACGCACCGTGCTGAAAAATAAGGAACGGTGTATGAGTAAATGAGAGGGAAGCAACATGGAGGACACAGAGCAACGTTTATATTGTTAACAACCATTTTCAATCCTTACAAACACTGTGGTAAACTATAGCTAGTACATATTTGTACTAATGTTAAATACAATGACAAAAAAGTGGAAGTTCTTTCCTTGGGATTCAATTTCCATTTCGTACAAGAAACAATATTTGTTTACGTTATATTTTATTATAAAGAGTAAGTGCCAATGTTTAAGCAGTCTCTGAGATAGCATGTGTGAGTGTACCTTTAGCAGCAGTTCAGTAACTTCATAGTGTCCGTAGGAGCAGGCGTTATGCAGAGGCACCAGACCCCTGGAGGGGCAAAAGATAAACATTATTAACACTAATTAACCCTTTATTCCATTGTATCTTTCTTCAGCTTAATAAAAAGAGAATAAGCATCTACACCCATGTTAACACATCTGAGAAGCTATATGGTGCGTTTAAAGCTGAATACTACAACAACATGCTAATATGGTGAAAATGAGAAGACTATAATACTGATGTTCAGTTAAGATGTATTAAGATGTTTTAATCAGATAGCATCTTAGCTAGCCTTAGCTTGTTAGCATGCTAACAACATCTGCTTATTAGCACTATAAATTGCTCCTACAGAGAGCCTCTTTGCTAGCATTGCTAATAAATTAAGCAGTGTCACAAAATTAGTTTTGTAGGATGTAATTCTGGTTGAGACTTACTTTAAGAATGTAGGGTGTTTGTCTATTTTAAATGTCTATTTTAAAACAACATCAATTGATGCTAGCATCAGTCTAGCAACTACACTCACCATTTCAAACGTAAGCATGTTTTAGTAAGTGCAAATCCTAGTTTTATCACCAATTAATGATGGATGACTCAATATTTAATGACAAATTAAGAAATTCACTTCCATATCCGGTTGGAAAATGTTAAGAGACACAATGAAAGCCCTGCGTGTGGTTTGTTGTCCAATCACATAGAGGATTCTTGATGACGTCTCACATATTGACCAGCCTACTTTCTACCACAACTACCACTGAAGGATTATGCAGTGTTTCAAAAGGTCAAAATAAATATCTACCTTAAAACTCTCTTTTTATTGCACTTTAATTTGTTTTATACGTACCCCTTGTCCTTGGCGTGAACATCTGCTCCGTGCTGTAGTAACAGCTGAACTATCCTCACCCTGTTGTATCCTGCTGCCAGGTGGAGTGGAGTGGACTGGAGAGGCAAAGAAGGAGAAAGGGAGGGACACAAAGGGCAAGAAGAGAGGAAAAGGGGAAGAAACAGACACAGTGGGAGGGAAAAAGAAGGATATATTTAGTAAATGTCCAATATGACAGCATATAATGATTTCATAACATAGAGTTTGCAATAAAGGATATACACATTCTGTTTCCCTATGATCAACCAGTTGTACGACAAGACCTTTCAAAAAGAAATGGTCTTTTCCACCACTGAATCAATCAAGAGTTATAAAGCACCACTATATTTCCCCCATAAAAATGATGAAAGCTGCATTTCTGAATGCTCTCAGATGGGACTGAGATGAGATGGCTCCATGCTGAGCTTCCTCTCTCAGCAAAGGCCATTCTTCTTCAAAGCACGAGTGACACCCACACTGGAGTAGAAATGTTACGCCAGCGAGAATGTTCCCATTATTCAGTCAAACTGAACTCGGTACAAGAGAAACTAATGGGAAATCTAGCTCTATGATATGGTTTGAAAGCTTTTTACAACACAACAAGAGGCACTACAGCAGATACATTTTGAATAGAACAGGGAATACATATTCCACAAGCAGTACAGCAAGCAGATCAAAGAGTTCTTAGATAGCGCCGAGCTAACTACAAGTGCCCAGTTTGCAAATGCCATTGCCATTATCCAGACATTTTTCTCTCAATGGTCCAAGAAAACCAGGACAGTAAGATTAGATTAGAGTTAGATTCCCTCCAAACTTGGAGGAAATATTGCAATCGGAAAATATCGTAACAAATGTCATGATTGACTGAGGTAGAAAAGTTGGTAAAATGCTATCACTTTTTTCATGTTGAATAGAACTGTTTGAGTTTTGATCGGAAGATTTTAATAATGTAAATAATAATGTAAATATGTTTCTATTCTTGGGCAATGGTTCAATGGCACCGGACCGGAGACTCCACTTACTGTATTGACTGATTTTTGTATGGATTTAGATAAACCAACAACTAGTGTTCTCATAATGGTAGCGGATGGAAAAGCAGATTAGTTTGCATTTTCTTTTGACAATATTCTGGAAACTTTGTTGGATTAGTCCAAATCCTTTTACAAAACATTTGTCCCATCTCTTTTCAACAAGCAAAATCAAAACCAAAATGTTTGAATGAGCATAATGGAATATTTAAGAATACAAATAACAAGCTAGTATTTAGCTCGCCAAAAACACAATATGGAACATAATCAACAAAACAAAAATGGCCCAGAAATCCCACGATGATGGCAGCATTCTTAAATGCTACAGTACCGTAATCAGATCTGGGATTCAAACATCGCCCCTAGATATCTTTCCATTTTAAATCCCATAACGAGGTCAGTCGTAGGTCACACACACAGAGAGAGATTTCTCTTTAAAAGTCACACTACAACATCATTTCATCAGCCATGATGCAAAACCTTGGCAACATCAAAAAAAAAAATATATATATGTTTACAAAGTACTGGTTTTCAAAGTGGAACTTAACTTTTTTCCTAAAAAAAATTCAGGAAATTATTAGGTTTTCACTGCCGGCTGGCTATTTTGTAAATTATGCAGAATGGTCTCAAAAGATGTCAGAGATACTGGAACTCTTATCAAAAGCAGGAACATGTTTAACTTTGGTCGGAAAATAACAATTAGGGCTATTACAACTGGTTTTTGATTTTTTTATCTGACAAAAAGGAGGATGTAGATTCCATCTCCTGCTTTGATGTCAGAAGAGATCTTGAAAAACAGATCATCTTTAGTGTTGTGAGAGTTCAGCGGAGAAGCAGCAGCAGTGAGGCAGAGCTGGGCGGACAGATGGTGTACTCGTATTTACAGGATGTGACAGCAGCATTTGGAAGAACCAGGACATGGGACGTGGTTACTCATCATCCTCATCTTTAATGCAGTGTTGTCTGTGTGTCTGTGTACTTTTGACTGCAAATGTTGAATATAAATAAACAGACAACAAAAACACCAATATTTAAAACAGCAATCAGGTCCCTTTACAATCATAAAACCACTCAAAATCCCAGCAGTGACTCATCAGTATGTACCGTTGCATCACCATGATGTTGTTGCCAGGGTCGGACTGGGTATAAGCTCCGCCTCCTCAATCTGTCAACCCTGTGAGATTGAGGGTATGTGCATGTGTGTGTATGAGAGAGAGGGTCTATTGGATTATCCTTACAGAAGCCATTTGTATTCAAGTTGTAAAAAAGCGCTTTTATTATGAGCCTCTGACCTCAGCAGCCACAAGCCAATAATAATCAAAAAAGCATCAGCCATTTGTCTTCTATCTGAGCTATAATACATCCAACATCTCTCCACTGCAGCCTGCTCCTTTTTCTAGTGCAGTATTTTTTGAAAGGTCGCACAAACGGCTTTTTGAATTTTTATGAATGCTCTAATGCAGCGGCAAAACAAATGAGCTTCGTGAAATATTCTTGACTTAACATTGGCATATTGATGCTGGTGTCAAGGCTGTAAGTGTAATAAGGGTCGGATTAGGTGGTTTATAAAAGACTGTGACATTTGGATTGAAGCAGGATATGTCTTTATGATGTGAGCATGTGACCATTTACTCAAAACATAAGTTGAACACTAGCCTTATGGCAGAGTAACTTCATGTTTTAGATACGATATTATAGATATTACACATGGTCAGAAAAAGGGCTTTATGCTATTTAAAAGCATTTGTATTGTTATCCATACAGCTGTCTGCAGCAGGTGCATGCAGCATTTAGATACGCTTTGAATCCTACATATTTTAGGGTTTATTAATATGTAATCCTTTTATTGTTAAACTAATACTATTATTTCTTGTTAGCAAACCTGGTTCTTTAATTGTGAATGTTTATTATGTCATGTTATCTACTTTATTGGAGTTTATATTTCTTGTTTCTGTATTTTGACAACCTTAACTAAAGTGCCAAGCGCTTTGTTAAATTCTTCTTTAAAGTATTTATCTCCTTTAGTTAAAGGATGTATTACTAAGGTGTCAATCATAACCATCAGCATTCATTAGCACATATCAAAAGGTAACTGTACACTACACTTAAAGTTTGATTTAGTGGTTTGTTTCAGTGTCATCTGAACATCATCACATGACACGACTGCAAACGTCTACTGGTTTAATTCCTCAGAATAAATGGTACCGCAGTGGTGGTTGCAGACACACCTGGTGGAGAACTGCACTCAGCCAAAAGCACTTTTCAAGTTGGATGTAGTTGTTTTTTTGCTCCAGTGTCCTTCAACTGTTGGTGTTTTTACCCATAAACTGCTTTGATACTTGATGAAATTTGTTGCCCCAAAGTGAAAAACCTAATAGGCGATATTTCAGAGAGAAGCACTCCGCAATCACAATGGCAGACAGAAAGAGAACAACAGCAATAAAAAACCTATCCGGCTAGTTTTAATCACCTAAAAGCCTTTCTGAGGAGGAGGGGAAAGGAAGGAAATATGGGAAGAAAATGAAGGAGAGATGTGGAGGGCATGTTAAAGCCAAGATGGGAAATACTAATCTTTTTACTGGCAGCTTTTGGTAGCATTTAAAAAAATGCATTTATCCTTTCCCCTTCCATAGAAACACCATCCATCTGAACGGCAGCTGGAAAGTCTCTTCACATCAAAAAATGTCCAGATTTTGCTTATTTGGCCATCTAACAGCAAGCACTATTTGTATCAAAAAGGAATGAGTCAAACATTCACATTTAACAAAACATATTTTAAATAAATATGTGATGGGCTGCTTTGTTAGTTCCCTCTGTGATGTTTTCATTTTTCTCTCACACCTCTCAGATAGTCCTTCCTCTTGGCCTTCCTTGTCTCTTTACAAGCCTGTCAAGCTGTTCCCATGACAACAGTGACTGGTAGCTGTCAGCAGTTGCCATAGCGATGAGAAATGATCTATTTCGCAGTGTGAACGACCATATTTGGGCCATTTTGTTTAGTGTCCTTTTTTACATGTGTGGGTGGGAAATATGCTGATATTCTTTAACTTCAAACAGTCTCCTTAACCCAATAAATTCACGAGTGTGATCACAGCAGTAAAATATTCAAATTCAAGATTCCTTTAATCTTTGTCCTTATGAATTGGTCACACACCGCTCCACTTGTATAAGGGAAATCAATTCAAGAAAATGCTTTAAACCGAGGAAGAACGATGAAGAAACATGGAAAAATAAAGGGCTGTGTGCACTGCATATATAAATGTACCATGGGGATGTGATCTGCAGCATAGGTTGAAGCATGAATCAGCAAATTAAACTGCCTATACCATATTGGACATGGTTTTATAAAAAAAAAAAAAAAAGGCTTGTGGGGTGATAAATATCTTGTCGGTGGAGTGCGGAGATTGTCTACAATTGATGAGCAGGGTGACAGAAATATGGGATGAAACTGTCTTGGCTCCATGATTCAAACTCACATGCAAAAAAAACAACACCTAATGCGTCAAAAGTAAACTAAAACAATCTGCAGATGCCTACCTTTCATAATTCATCCGACTGATATCCTGAGATTTAATACCTGGATAAATGTATTGGGCCATTCTATAATCCTATGTTCATATGTCAAAAATACACATTTCTCCATCACTTTGGTTGAATGGATTAATTAAATAAAAATCCTCATTATGCAATGACCGGGAAGATTAAAACAGGGGTCAGAGTAACTTGATAGGGGTTGGTTAATCAAATACTTCTCTTAATTTAAAACATAGTGGAATATTCCTTTAGCCTGCACTCGGGTCTTTGATCTGCCTTAGCACTCCGGTCATGGCTGCACATCAGCAGGTGGACACGCCGACAAGATGAGTAGTGTCAGATGACTGGATCAATAAACATATTAGCAGATCTGTGTGCCACTCCTCTGGCTGACACATGCACACACACGCTCTCATACACACATTATCGGGAGTGACAGCTCAGCCCAGCCAACAGCTTGGAAGATAAGTAACCTCCAGCAAGTCTGATGCTCCCCATGCACACTCACACACTAT